ATTATCCCTGCCTCTTAAAATAAGGTTGGCAAAGTGCTATGTGTTGCCAATTCTGCTGAAAAAATTAAACGCCTTTGAAATGTGGATATACCGCCGTATCCTCAGAGTCTCGTGGACTGACCACATAACTAATAAAGAGGTGCTGCAGCGAATTGGGAAAGAGAGAGAAGTTACACTCACAGTTTAAAAGAGGAAACTGGAATACCTCGGACACATAATGAGACACCAAAAATATCGTCTACTCCAGTTAATAGATCAAGGAAGGATCAACAGTAAAAGAGGACTAGGAAGGAGAAGACACTCATGGCTGCAGAATCTACGCCAGTGGTTTGGACTTACATCTATACAGCTATTTAGAAAATAGCCAACGTCCGCAACGGATAAGGCACGCTAAGAAGGAGAAGAAGTATCAAATTTGGTTCAATTTTTCACTTATAAAGTGCGGTTTTTGCCAATTAGAAAATACCCTGTTCACCGTTATATACAGGGTGTCCCAAACTCAAAAAATCTACTTGATTAGCTCCTGCAATTTTGAAAATATTTCCAACTTTCTCAACTAACTTGATTCAATCCATATTCTCACATTCATCAGTTCGCAACACTTGATGTGAAAGTCTGGCATCAAATTTGGCCTGTTCTGTAAATACCAGGAAATCGCGTTCTTACATCTGTTTGTTTTTTCAGTAACCTTCAATCCCAGTGAACTGAAAGTAGGCGAAAACTCCGACTCACTGGCTCACTTTTACTGGATCCAAAACGGTGCTTCCAATCAATTCCACATCGAGTTCCATTATGTTATGGTGGATGGCGTGAGCGGAATCTACTCATGGGCCAAATACATCAACAGCCAGTCCGGAACGGTCTCCCTTGGAGAAACCCGAACGGTAAGACTTGGTTGAATATTCACTCCCCCACAACTGAAGATGTGAAACTGTTCGATTGTTTGCAGATCTACCGGTTCGACTCAAGCATTTTGACCCAAGGAACCAACCAGGCTCGGTCTGGCACGCTCTACCTGTACTCGTACCTGAACACTCAGACTAAGGTGCAAGATGAGACTTGGCAACTGGCTGATGGAACTTACTATACCAAGTACGACTACGCTGGTTACCTCAGAGAGACCTCCTACCAAGTACGTTTCGAATGAACCTTCGGGACGCTCAGTAATCGATTGTATCGGCCTCTGATCTGCAGGGTGTTTACGGAAACGGTTACGGAGCATTCGTAATCTCACCAAGTCGAGAGTACCATGCAGGAGGCCCGCTGAAGCAGGACTTGCTGATCCATCAGGACTCTCTGATCGCCAACTACTTTGTCAGCAGTCATTTCGGCACATCTGGACTGAGTGCTCCATCTGGATGGACTCACATCTACGGGCCGTGGCTGATCTACTTCAACACTGGAAGCGACAGCGCTATTCTTAGCGACGTCGCTAACAGGGCTCAGACGGAAAAGTCGAGCTGGCCTTACAGCTTCGTTAACGATGATGCCTACCCAAGAAGCAGGTAGGTTTATCTTATGGGAAAGTGTTTTGGGTTTAATTTTTTCCAATATTTGTAGCTAGTTTTTGCTGTTATGAAGCTAGGTTTTTCCCTGCTGAAACTATGGAAGTTTTTAGTGGCCAGTTGGCCCAAAAGGACAGAAAATCTATTGGAAATAGGAATTGTTGCATTCATCTTTCCAAACCGCAAACTACAGCTTTCGTATCTCATGTCATTCTTCAGCTTCAGAAAACCTTCTTGATAAGAAACCAGCGCTAAACGTCTATTCTTCAACACCTTCTTACCTTTTCCTATGGAAATAAACCATGAATTTATTCCCCTTCAGATCTGCTAATGCAAAGTCGATTCATGCGGTGTTTTTATGTAATTTTTCTGCTGACTGGTTGAAGCGAAATAGCAACTTTTGCTCTGATATACAGGGTGATTCACAACCTTATAAGCACAGAGCAAGGGCGTGTAGAGAACGTCAAAACAAGTCTAGTTTCCTTTTAAGTTTTTTTCTCAGGCCCATAGTTTACGAGATACAGGGTGTTAAAGTTTCAAAAAAATATTGATATTTTCGCCTTAACTCCTACAGTTTATGAGATATTTTGGCTCAAATTTTTAACGTTGGCTAATGTTTAGACCCTTTACCCGGTAAGCGTTCGCGGCGAAAGCTTTCGAAAACTGCTCTTGGACTACAATGGACAACAGTTTTGCCCAAATATTGCCAATAGAAATGCTCGAAATTTGTCCCCAGTTATCAAAACTACTTTCCAATGTCCTGAAGCAATGTTAGTGCGAGAGCTAATGTTTCGCAAACGATTGGAACGAAGCCAGACGAAACCATTTTTATCGACTTGGAATCATGTTTTTTAAAAACAGTCCAACCGAACTTACCGTTCGCATTTACAATTTTTTTTTGGTTTGATCTGCATTTGTATGCAAACAAGGCAACTCAAAGCGCCCATAAGTTATTTTATCACCAACTTCCAGCGTTCCTACATTTATTGGCGTGATTTAAAAGCGACAATAATTTAATATGATAATAAATAAATCGTCTAATTCAAGATCTAGATCTACTTTTAATCTTATATTATGGAATATACAGTGTGTCTACTTAAGTCTTATTATTAATTTTACGATAAAAGTTATTCTTCATAAAAAAGTCTGCTTGGTCCAAAAGGGAAAATGCCACTATTAGATGTTATTTGTTTGCACTTGTATACGAGGTATATCAGAAAATATGAATTAAGCTCAAGAATAAAGTACCTCTATTTTCGACAATATCGAAAACTGTTATTCAGAAAAGTTGCTTAGAGTTGTCCAGATCTCAAATCGCACCTTTCTATGATGAACATCAAGTTTTATTATTTTTAGGTTGGTTTCATTTGGAAAACTGTATTTTTCTTAATTTGACGAAAAAAAGTTCTGCAGGTTGTAAAATCTAAAATGCAATCCGGCTATCAATTTTTTTCAGTCGCATACGAGGATGGTCAAAAAATATTAATTTTGCCAACAGTTCATATTGCCTGATATTCCTCGAATGCGACTGAAAAAAAATCTAATGGTTACTTCATAAAAAAAAATAAAATTAATAATAAAAAAGGTCCCGTATGGTGTGAACATAAGTAGACAGTAGTCACTATACAGGGTGATTCACAACCTTATTTCACATCCTTAGATGGACTGAGCTCTATACCTTCTCATGAGTTGTATGGAGTTTTGAGGATTAAAGTGACCAGCCGGTTTTCAAAAAATGTCTCCAAGCGAACCAGTTGAGATACAAAATCGTTTTTTGCAATGAATAAAGGAAGCTTAACTCTATGCTTCATCAAAGTTCAGCTCTCTTAGACCTTTGGACTTAATTTTGAGAAATACTCCAAGTGAGACCTAAAATTATTTTGCGAATAATTTAACCTGCGGTTTTTCGAAAATTTATTACAGCCGAAGTAGTTGAAATGCAGCAGCAGTTTTTCAGGCAGTAAACAGAGCAAATTGCACTGTATGTTTCTTCAAAGCAAAGTCTTGGGCTCAACTTTGAGAATAACTCAGAGTAGGACTGGCAATGTTTTTGAGACTGAATTGTCCCGCCGTTTTTTAGAGCTTTTTTCGACCAAACTAGGTGAAATAGAAAAGCAGGTTTGGCATGATTTTGCAACTTTCAATACAATTGATTCTTCAGCTTTGGTTTCCTCAACTGATTTTTTCGTTGTTACCAACTCTTTCTGTCTTTAACAGACCAATTCATGTTGCTAAAATTCCTTTACAAACGCAATTAATTGTTGGCTAAACACTTTTCTATAGATTTTTTCAACAACTTCACACAAGCTCGGCCTAATCATTCACGCTCTATTAGTGTGGATTGTTTGCTCTGGAAACTCTTATTAGCGTCTGGAGCTGAGCAGTTTGATTATTTTCGCCCATTCAATTCAGTGTTAAAAATATTGATCGGTGCTTTTCTTACAGAGGAACCGTAACCGGTAAAATCACTGGGCAGCCAAAAGCTGCCGTTATGCTGTATGATTCTACTGAAACTTTCGACGATCAACAATTGGGTTACGCCTTTACTACTGAGTCCGACTCAAGCGGATCATACACTTTAACCAACGTTCGTCCTGGTACTTACAATGTGGTCGCCTACCCATTGGCTGGACAGGGAAGTGAAAACTTGGCCACATCTACTGTAACTGTAGCAGCAGGTATGCTCGATTTTTTTACGGAAAACATGCAGATTTTGCTAGATTTTTTCAACTTTTATAGGTGGAACTGCAACAGTCAGCACCCTTAATCTGCCCGAGCCCGGAAATATTATCTGGAACATCGGGGAGACTGACCGCAGGTCAGACGAATTTAAATACAGTAACGAACCCCGTAATTATCTGTACGAAACTCTGCCTCCAGAGACTCTGACTTTTGTCATTGGATCAAGCAATGCAGCTAACGACTGGTAAGTGGGAAATGATGAAAAAAGTCAGGATTTAAAAAATATGAAAATCATTATCAATCAAAATCCACATAGTTTTCTTTCATCATTCTGAGGACCTGAAAACTTGTAAACTTGGTGTTACTTAATTTTTTTGAAAACTTTAATACGCTTCCATTCGGCACTGAAAATTACGAGTTTGAGAAATTGTGGACTTTGACCCAGCAATTTTGATGGCTGCAACCACTGTCTGTGTTCGTTCATCTCTTTCTAGTTCATTCGCTGCGCGCAACTTCTGATTAAGCACAGTGGGTTGAAATGCCAAAAATGCCGGTAAAGCAAAGAAGTTTTGAAAAATTATTAGTAATTTTAGCAGCCACTGCTACCACTATCTGAATGAATTGAATTTTCATTTAAATCTATACCAAGCCAAAATTTCAGTCAAAACAACCTTAGATCTGAACCAGTAAATACGCGAATAATAATAAATTGAACGCACTTCCATTTATTTTGAAGGTACTACTCTCAATCCAAAGCTGGAATCTGGACCATCCAATACGAAGACACGCAAGATGGAAACGGCAGAACTCTTCGGGTGGCTTTGGCTGCCGCCAGTCAAAGTCCTCACTTGATCGTCAACATCAACGGCCACAAAATCGGTGATATTTACTTCGACAACGACCAATCGGTCTACAGAAGCGCCATGCAGAGCGGCAAGTTCCATTCCAACATCTTCACCGCAAATAATGCCCAAATCGTCAGTGGAACCAATGTTATCACCTTGCAAGTGAGCAAAGGACAAGTTATGTACGATGCCATCAGCTTGCAAAGAGGTTGATTCAGTGATAAAGGAATAAAGCATTTTTTGTTGTTTTTTTGGGTTTTTATATGGCCTATGGGGTAAAACTATTAAAAGTTAATGTTTTTCTATTGACCTGATGGATTAAATATCCAGGCAAAGGCCAAACAACGCAAAATGTGAATGTTGCAAGCTAAGCAATGAGGTGAAAGAAATTCAAAGAGCAGCGCATGAAAACTAAGCAGCGCTAAAAAAGGCAATGATGAAACACAACTTCAGACTTTTAAATATGATTGCATCGCATAGTCCGTGTGACTAGCAAGAAACATTTCTTGGTCTTAAAGTGGAATTTCCCAGGAACGGTTATTAAATTTCCGCTTTCAAGCCCTGGCTGCTGGGTTTTTGCTGCTTCAAAGTCGACTTTTGTAAACAATTTTTTTTTATCATCCCCGAAAAGATACCACAATTCCCGTTTCATTGAAACCCTAATTTGTCTCTAAATGCACTGAATCTTTGATAAAATAAACGCTGTGCACGTTTTAAGTGTGCACAATGGCCAGATGGAAGCACCAAACTTTTGAGAATGGTGGTGGTGCTGAAYATAAAACCTCTTGGACAAAAGACTCGCTTTGATATAACTTTCCGTCYCTTTTTTTCCCTTCTGGTCTATGCCTTTTCRTAGATAAAGTWYAACATCCCGTTTCATTAAAACCCTAATTTGTCTCTAAATGCACTGAATCTTTGATRAAATAAACGCTGTGCACGTTTTAAGTGTGCACAATGGCCAGATGGAGACAGCAAACTTTTGAGAATGGTGGTGGTGCTGAATATAAAACCTCTTGGACAAAAGACTCGCTTTGATATAACTTTCTGTCTCTTTTTTTCCCTTCTGGTCTATGCCTTTTCATAGATAAAGTACAACATCTTATGATGAAATTGTGTCAAAATTTTATATATATGTGATTTGGTTCCAATGAATCTTGAGTAAAGTTGTTAAGATGGATGGTAAAAACATTCAAATTGTACAATTGCTACTTCAAAAAATGTTGTCCTTAGAAAATGCTACACTTGGACTTGTACCCATCGGAAATTGGTGTTAAAATTCTCTGTAGCATAATCGATCTCGCTTCCCATATTTTTTTTTTATAAAAAGTCAACTTAATTCTAGTGAGAATTGATGGACAACTTGCAGATACTTTCTGCTTGTTGAATCTTTGTTGAAAGTACCATGGTTGCAAGAAACCCCACTTCAATGTAGTAAAACGATCCACTCCAGTAATTGAATTTTGTCTAGTTCACCCACCAATTGATAAAAACCAGCTTTAAATATACCAATTTGCACACTTATCGACTGCTCTTATTAACCACAACTTTGTTTGATTCAAATTAACTTTCACTAATCAAGCACGTGTCTTCTAGCTGATGCCCAATCAGCTACTAATGCTTAAGAGGCATTGAAACAATTGCCATTGACGCAATTTTTGAGCCGAGCCCGTAATAGAAACTCCAAGATAAGCGTTTTTCGATTACCTGATGGTCCCCAGTGTTTGCCAAGTGCTTAAGACATTGCTCCCACTTAGCCAATGGTATCTAATATATAAAGGAAACGTGCTGGTGTAGTTGGCTTAGGTACCATTTAACGCGATGGCATTGTGGGGCGTGGTTCTCTTGCTAATTGCTACCTCCATATCAGTTGCTGTGGCCACAGTGACGCTCACAACCAGTGGACTCACAGCCACTGTGTCCAATGGCGATGTAACGGTTGTCTTCAACGCACATGCTAGAGTGTCTTCTGTGAAGATCGACGATGTTAACATTGTCTCCACGACGGAGAATAGCTTCTATTTGGACTGGAATGAAAATGGAGAAGGTACAGCAGTAGTCTTGTGCCTTGTTGTATTGTGGATGACTTTAATTGGTTTGGAATTGTTGCAGTTAGTTTCAGTCCAAGTTCGTTAACGGTTGTAAATGACACCGACTCGCTGGCGCACTTCTACTGGCTCCAGGATGGCGCTTCTGATCAGTTTGAAATTGAGTTGCATTACCTGATGGTGGAGGGAATCAGTGGAGTTTACTCGTGGGCCAAATTCATCAACAGCCAAAGCGCCAATGTCTCTCTTGGGGAGGCCCGGACGGTAAGACTTCGTTTTCCCCATGAACCCATATAGCACACAAATATTATTTTTTTGCAATATTTAATATAGGTTGAAGCGACATATTCTTGAATATTATAACAATATTTCTTATAAATATTTCTTTGACGTTTAAATCAGATATTTAAGAAATATT